TTTGAGTTGAATTGAAGAATACTTTGTTGTTCCAAGAAGCTCTGTGAAGTACGGCTTTCACACACGCTTATCTCTCAGAACTGAGCATGTGGAGAGACGTTCGTTCATCTAGCAAAAAGGGATCGGGTTGCTGGAGATACAATTACTCTGGATTCTCAGTGTGTTTCCTAGTGCCAGTTTGAAGTTCCTGCAGGTTTCACTGGAAAACCGAGTTGAAGCTTGTACCTCCCCATATATATGTATGGAGTGGAGTTTGCAACTGAAGAGAATCTTTGTGTTCCCAACAAGCTAGGTGAAGGACAGCTTCCACACATGCTTTACTCTCAGAACTGAGCATGTGGAGAGACGTTCGTTCATCTAGCACAAAAGGAACGGGCTGCAGGAGAAACACTTACTCTGGTTTCTCAGTGTGTTTCCTATTGCTGGTTTGAAGTTTCTGCAGTTTTAACTGTAAAACCGTGTTGGAGTTTGTACCACCCCATATATATATATGGAGTAGAATTTGCAATAGAAGAGTAACTTTGTGTTCCCAACAAGATATATGAAGGACGGCTTTCATACACGCTTAACCCTCAGAACTGAGCATGTTAATAGACGTTCGTTTATCTAGCACAAAGTAAAAGGGTTGCAGGTGAAACACTTACTCTGGTTTCTAAGTGAGTTTCCAAGTGCCGGATTGACGTTCCTGCAATTTTCACTGTAAAACCATGTTGGAGTTCTACCTCCCCATATATTTTTAAGGAGTGGATTTTGAAAGTGAAGAGAAAATTTGTGTTCACAACAAGGTAGGTGAAGTAAGGTTTTCACCGACGCTTTATCCTCAGAACTGAGCATGTGGAGAGACGTTCGTTCATCTACACAAAGGGAACGGGTTGCAGGAGAAACACTTAATCTGGTTTCTCAGTGTGTTTCCAAGTGCCCCATTGAAGTTCCAGCAGTTTTCACTGTAAAACCAAGTTGGAGCTTGTACCTCCCCATATATATGTGTGGAGTGGAGATTCCAACTGAAGAGAAACTTTGTGTTCCCAACAAGCTAGGTGAAGGACGGGTTTTTCACAAGATTAACTCTCAAAAATTATCATGTGAACAGACGTTCGTTCATCTAGAACAAATGGAATGGTTTGCAGGTGAAACACTTACTCTGGTTTCTCAGTGTTTTTCCTAGTGCCGGTTTAATTTTCCTGCACTTTTCACAGTAAAACCGAGTTGGAGCTTGTACCGCCCCATATATATGTATGGAGTGGGGTTTGCTATTGAAGAGAAACTTTGTGTTCCCAACTAGAAAGGTGAAGGACGCCTTTCACACACACTTATCTCTCAGAAATGAGCATGTGGAGAGACGTTTGTTCATCTAGCAAAAAGGGAACGGGAT